CTTATAGTCATCCGCTTATTAATGAAAAGTGCACTTCGGTGGGCAATTTTCACGTGGATGTTTCTCTCTTTCTCTCTCTCTATAATATATGCTACAAGCATTAATTGGTTCTATGATGGAGCTAAACTGCCATCAGATTATATAGACACCAAACAACTAACATTTTCTTCATTTGGTAAACACATGGAGATTGTATCCACTAATCATATAGTCGAGAGCCACGCAGTTAGGCGCACGGCTGATTACAAATCGAACATTTGGAACTACGATGATCTCATGCAGCTCTCTCATTCGAACAAACTCAAAGTAAGTCGGAAAAAAATGTGTTGGGTGTGTGTTTGTGTATTTATTATATGATGCCAATTCTTGATTTTTGGATTTTTTCGTTTTCGTTCTCGATGTGAAGTACAAAGAAGAAATCGAGAGGCTGAAAGAAGAAGTCGGGCGCATTCTTGGATCGTCAAAAGATCCGATACATAAGCTGGAGCTCATAGATGAGATTGAAAAACTCGCCCTTTCGTATTGTTTTGAGGAGGAAATTGGTAATTCCGTGAAGGAGATAGCATTTGGAAAAACGAGCACTAGTTTGAACATGGAAAACGATCTCTACTCTGCTGCATTGCAGTTCAAGATTCTAAGGCAGCATGGCTATCGTGTTTCGCAAGGTGACATAANAAAATTAGGCGCAATGCCAAGACCATAAATTGAGATTTAACTTCGTTTTTTTTTCTTTATTATTATTATTTTTTTTTTTCTGTAACGATCATCTTAAAAGAGTTGCACGCAATTCACATTTGCAAGGTATAATATAAAGGCTACGGGTAAGGGTGGTGAAATTGGAAGCCTATGTAGAGTAGTATATTCATAGACAAAGAAAAATTAATAAACAAATCTCAATAAATTCATGAAGATATATAGTGATTAATAAGTCTCTCGATAGCCGGATATTTGCTCTGTTGTTGATTGTGCTATATGAAACTTGCATAGATTCAATTATTCAACTATTAGATGATGAAACTACGCGTTTGGACGACAAAACAAAGGTCGAAATTTTCGAAGCTTCTCATCTCGCCTTGGAGGATGAGTGTTTACTGGACAGAGCAAAAGGATTTATCGCGAAAAATCCGAATTCAAATGGTGATCATCAAGGCAAAATCAATGTTGTACCTTCTCATTGGAGTGTAAGTTGGTTTAACGCCAAGAAAAATATAAACGAGCCGAAAAAGTCCACACTTCACCGACTAGCAAGGCTTAGCTTTAACATGGTTCAAATTCAGCACCAAAAGGAACTGAAAGATATTCTAAGGTAGTAACCATAATTAAAACCGCATTTCAAATAATTGAAAAATGCACAATGTGTCCATTTTCCGTTTGCTCACGATTGGATTTTGAGCAGATGGTGGAGAAGTCTCGGCCTTCCGGAAGCTATGACCTTCGCACGAGACCGAGCAGTTGAGAGCTTCCTATGGGCGGTTGGAGTGGCTTACGAGCCTCAATATGGGAGCCTTAGAAAGTGGCTCTCGAAAGCCATTATGTTGTTGATAGTTATCGATGATCTTTACGACATTTATGGCTCGATAAACGAGCTAGAGCAGTTCACCACCGCAGTAGAAAAGTAAATACGACAAAACTAATAAAAGCTTTCGGTTATGACATATAGTCAAAAGAGTTTCTCACTTGTTTAGAATTTCAGGTGGGACCCAATGGAAACACAACACCTCCCAGAAGCTTTTAAGAGGTGCTTTTGGGCTCTGTATGATGTGGTAAATGACATGGATCTTGAGATTCAGAAGATAAAGGGATGGGAATCGGTTTTGCCTCGTTTGCAAGAAGGGGTAAGCGTTCGAATATTTTTTAATATCGGATCATTTAAGGTTTGTGAAAATTAACCTTAGTAGTTTGATTTAGATCCAAACTTTTATTATAAACCAATCTAGTTTTTTCTAGTTTTCATTCTTAATTATAATGTCTCCTTATCATTTTTTATTTATTTTTTTCGATTTATGACAGTGGACTGGTTTTTGCAAAGCATTGTTTGTGGAAGCAAAGTGGTATCACAAGGGCCATTCTCCATCTCTTGAGGAGTATTTGGATAATGGGTGGAAATCCTCCTCTGGCCCTCTTCTCTCAGTCCATATTCTCCTTGGTGTTGGTCACAATATAACAAAAACTATGGATACCTTAAACAACAATCAAGAAATCATCCATTATGCTTCACTCATTTTTCGACTCTGTAATGATCAGGGCACAACTAAGGTAAATCTAAGGTTATATATAGTTCATCATACATTTTCAATAATAACAACTAAAAAAAAATGTTCTTGTTTGTAGGATGATGCATTTTTCCTAACAATCCCGAAAACACGTAACATTGAGAAAACTAAATTTTACTAATGTATGTTTCCATCGACGCACTATTTTTTACTAGGCCAACTTCGTCATGCCCAAAACTGCAATCATGCGTCGCAAAGATATAAAACTATGTAACGATTTTACAGGCAGAGCAAGAGAGAGGAGACGCGCCTTCGTCAATCCTATGTTATATGCAAGAAGCAAACGTTACAGAATCACAAGCTCGGGAGCACGTCAGAAACTTGATAATCGAGTCATGGAAGAAAATGAATGGGTTGTTCATCAAATGTCCTCAATCACAACGACCCGAGATTAGATATGTACTCAACATAGCACGAGTCGCTTATTTCATCTATCAGGATGGAGATGGGTGTGGTGTTCAGGATGGAGAGACGCGAAAACAAGTCTTGTCTTGCTTGATTGATCCTCTTCCTCTACCATGATTATGTCACTTCATTTGAAGGCACAACATCCTCAGTTATGCTTAGATATAGCAACACATTGTTTGGTTTATGGACTATGAAAAATAAATCGAATATTCATTCGAACTTTTTGTTAGAAAATCAGGATGAAAAACTTGGGTTTGCCCAGTATTGACTGACTTTTTGTGGCTAAATATTTAATTCGGATTGAACTAAATTGTGTAGAAAATTCTACGTTCCGAATAGATGCTCGTACTGGAATAAACGAGGTATAGATTTGTGAATTGAAATTAGTTTAAATGAAATTCTGATGGTTAAAATTTTATGGATTTTAGACATGATCATATCTTCCTTTATGTGGTTTTTGGGAAAAAATAAATTAAAAAAAAAATCTAAAAAGAACACAATAATTCACATCTTGAAATTACATGCGCTCTAGAATTTACTTATAAAAATGTACCTAAAATAAACATGCATTTTAAAACATTACAAATTAGGTAATTTTTTAAAAAAATAAAATAATTCACGAGTTTCCTGACATTGCTTAAATCTGTTTTTGATATGTTTTACCTTGCGTTCTTTATTGATAATCAAATGATTTGATTAAATAGTTTTGGAATGGATATATTTTATTGAAAGGCTAATAAAGAGATTAGATAATTAGTCGATGCTTAGATCATATTATGTTGTCCTCATAATAAAATATTATTTTGGATGAATTATTGCCGAAATAATTTGAATCATATGGAGTAATTGTAAATTATCCCTATCATATAGTTGAAAAATGTAGCATCACAAATCATTCTATGTGCTTTAAATATAATATTTGTATGAAAACTATAAATGTATTTATTATAACTTTATTTTATTAATTATAATATTTGTATGAAAACTATAAGTGTATTTGATATAACCTTATTTGTTATTACATTTGAATCATCGTTGTTAATTTTCATATTTTGATTCAAAATCTATTTTGTAAGAGAATAAAGCTTAAAGAGGAGGTTGCAGTATTCACTGAACTTCATGACAGGAATGGACCGATAATATACCTTTCCCTATCAATTCAGAAAACAAAAAATAAAAATAAAAAAGGACCAATAGAATGAATAATTGGCAGGCATTGTAGTGTGTGGTATTACTAAAGAAACAGTGAATTTGGGAAAAGAATAATGTACTAACAGTACCTTATTTGTGAAAGATGACTTGTGTCTTGACAGCCAACCTCATTTTCTTGTACTTCTTTCTGTTTCAACTATATTAACCAATTCACAAACACATTTTAATCATTCTGGATTCTTATGTGTGCTTTCAGTTTGAACTTACTGATATTCACAAAAAGCACCCTTCAGATTTGCAGTAATTACCAAAAGAATCCTAGTAATTATGAAATTGTGAAAGGCCTTACATTTCCAGCAATCATCAAATAATTACTTACAAAATACACACATCAACTTTTATACATTGCAAATAGCCCCCATCTTCACTTGACTATGATATTTCAAGGGTGTCGAGCATAATTATCATCATCATCAATAGGGATATTATTTTAGACGTGCCAAGTAACTCATATTCGAGCTCGTATGAGCTTAATGAATGAGCCAAAGGTTTGGCTCGACTCATTTAATAAGCCTAAAGCCTTACACGAGTTATTCAAGAACAAAAAAAGTCCCTTCGTGAACAAGCCCATAAAAGAATACAAAGATAAAATAAATAAATAAATAAATAAGATGAGTGAACAAGCTCGGATTGAATCGTTTCAATAAGAGCTCAATTAGTTGTTCAAACTCTTACTTAACAAAGCCGAGCTCGAGTTTTCACAAACAATATCAAGTTGTTGTGTTCATTTGAGAACAATCGATTCGAATAACAGCTCTAGTCACCCACCAAGTTATTTATAATTAGGCTAAACTCTAAGGGCCTATTTTCAATAACTTGAAGGTCACCCACCAAGTTATTTGTAATTAGGCTAAACTCAAAGGACCTATTTTCAATAACTTGAAGGGTAGCCTCTCTCTCTCTCTCTCTCATGCTAGAAATGAGCCTCTCAACGCCCAAACACTCACACACACTGACCACAGTGTATGTTTGAATGAATGCCTAACAAACCACAACAAGAAAGATTCTCATTTGACTTGTGTCATTCTTGTGAAAAAACACTTATATATATTCAAAGGCATATTCTCATCTCAAGAACCAAAAAAAAAATCAAATTTCTGTAATCAGTATAGTTAACGATCGTAGATAGGCGCTGACATGGACTTCGTCAAGACTGCATTTAACGATTTACGCGAACTCGAAAACCGAAAAAGTGGCCGCAAAACGGAAAAGAGGAAGCACGTGGATGAGGAGACTGACGAGGATGAAAACGGGAGGTTCAAATCAAAGAATCTCGAAGCCGAGAGGAGGCGCCGCAAGAAGCTCAATGATCGACAGCTCGAGCTGCGGTCTTTAGTCCCGATTATCACAAATGCAAGAAACTCGAAAACTCTACAATT